GCAAAAAAATATGATCCCCATTTTTCTGATAAAAATTTGCTCATCCCCCCTTTTTTCTACCAAAATTTTCCCAATCCCCCCTCAATTTCACCTACCCCCCCCCTCTTTGACATAAGTTATGAACGCAGCTTTATACTGTGGGTATGAGTGATGTTTTGAAAGTTATCAAAATTGGATGAGCCTTTAGGTAAGTTCAATTTCAGAACTTTCAAAACATCAAAAGTATCTATAAATTCCAAAATGTACAAAAAGGTGGTGGGATTTTTGTTTATAATACACTCAAAAAAACTTAGCAACGTAATTGGGACTCTACAGAGTACAATTTGGAATTTAATTGTACTCCTCTTGTCCAATCAAAATCGAGTAATTTTTTAGAGTGTATTATAAAGCTATTAATTAGCCACTTCAATCCTAAAAAAGTAATGATACCATGTGACACCAGTTGTATGATGGCTTTTTTTCAAATATTTCTGTTGTAGGTCACAGACCATTTAAGAGAGTTCTGTCTGAAAATGGAGAAATTAGGAGTGAATATGAAGAAGAAATGAGAAAGGTAAAGCTCTTGACCTGCGATCTTCCAACCTGGTATTGCAATCTTATTTTTCATTGTCTTTAGTCAGATAAGTCATCTTGTATAAGTCTGTCTCTGACAAAATATTATACAGATGTGGGTATGTCAATATATTTCAGATTCAAATGGCTAGAGAAGAAGAATGCAAAGCTAGTGAAGAATTTATTCGTCAATTAATGGAAGAAGAGAATAAAGTTCATGGTGAAAAGGAACAGTTAAAAGAGATGGATGAAAAAATTGCTAGAAAAATGCATCAACAAATAAATGAAATGAAGGTGAGAACACTGAATTTACAGTGCCTAGTCTCAACATCACCTGCTTATGATAAGTATATGTAATAGGACTCCATGCTGTCCAATTAAGTAATATTTGGATGAGGAAAATTCCGAGGACTGACAAAATTATGTGAGTCTGTAGGCCGAGTCCAATTTGGCAGTCAGAGGAATTTTTCGAGTCTAATTATTTCTTGATTGTGGAGGATGAAATCCCATTACCTATTAATTATATAGCTGCCTAATTAATCCCATATCAACAAGACCTGTCCAATTAAGAAAATAATTGGACAGTTACCTATATGGGATTAATGAGAAGCTGTATAATTCTTTTAATAATTAAGTAATTATTACTTAAGGGCCCACAGTAATAGCATAGTGCACAGATGTTAGAAAGACAGTCACCTATTGATATCAATATACCAACCAGAAATTTGCTACTGAAACAGAGATCTTTTGCTTTACTGGTCGAAATGAATGAGAAAAGATTTGTGATGTCAATGTTTGTAAACAGTGAATATCGCTATGGATTTTCTGAATACATAACATTAACTGTGTGTTACTGTATCGAGGTTCTCCCAGTTTTCCTTGGGACATTTTTGATGTCCTTTATTGATACCAGTATGCTTCCATATCTTATTTTCTGAAGGTTGCAACTCCATTAAAGGTGGTAGGTAATAAACAGGCTGGTTCTTCATCTAAAGCCAAGACCAAGACTAAAACATCTAACAGTCCTACTCTAGAGCGATGGTTTTCACCAACAATTAGATTAAAGAACACTTCGTTAGTACGCAAATCAGGTATACATTGTGTGATACTTATTATCTAATAGTTTAAAGAGTCGATACCTGTCGTTACGTTCTATATAATTATGATAATGATAATAATAATAATAAGACTTAATTTCAAGAGGGTTAAACACTAAACAGTTAGAGTTAAGGCATTTAACCCGTGAAATAAAAAAGGCTTGTCAATGTGTAATAATCAAATTGACACAAAAGAAAACAATGGAATTAGGGTCTACTAAAGTGTATTAGTCTAATATCTATTTCACGGATTTAATGACTTCACTCTATGAAAACTGATAAAATTGTGACCCTCAAGTTATATGTTTTATGTGTCAACCATACTACAATTGTCATTTTGCTCAGTTGGAATATCCATTGGATTTCTAGTTGTCAGTTAAAGAAATACTAGGAACAATTGACCCATTGTACATTCACCTATTTAGAGTCAACATATTCTGGATGGGAGCGGAGGGAGTGGGGTATTAGGGGTGGAGCATAGTTATATCACAGTTAAATCAGGTATGAATCTCATGCATGAATCTGGATGATTTCAAATAATGGCAATCGCTTTGCTTTAGCCCTTTCATGTCTAAGGGGGCTATGCAACCCTTGTGTAAGAGTATTAACCATTCCAAGGAAGATGAGGAAAAAATTGGGTCAAGTTGTTATTGCTGTGCACTGTGGGGCTATTTTAGGGGACTTGTATATTTCCCAGGGTTAGCACTTGTTCACGTCGGCCAATAGGACCTTTAAGTGTCAACGATAAAACAAATCTAATGTGTTACTGCCTACTGTTATTTTAGAGTGAAGTCATTAAACCCATGAAATAGATATTAGACCAATAATACACATTAGTAGACTCAAATTCCATTGTTTTCTTTTGTGCCATCTATTTGACTATTACACGTTGACTAGTATTTTTTATTTCATGGGTTAAATGCCTCCATTCTATTAGCCAATATGTCCTTTTAGGCAAGTGAACAAATGCTAACCATCTCCAAGATGGCATCTATTTTGTCCCTTAAAACAGTGCCCGCAATGCACTGAAATACCAACTTGACACATTTTTTTCCTTAACCTCAAAATGGCTAATAAGTAGCAACTAATTACGTAATAAATAATTTTGCTGCATATCAAGTGTTAAATTCTGATCCTCTTATCTCTAGATCAAGATAAAAATTCCTCGCAAAAAATCCCCAAAACAAGATCCAATAATACTGGTGTTGCCAAAGAATTAGAATTGAAGCACAAGCAAGAAGATGAGGACTTTGCTTTTGCTATGAAATTACAACAACAGTTTGACAAAGAAAGGCGGCAAGAACAACAACTTGAAAGAAAAAAGGGAAGTGTGGATGGATACTTGTTGAGAAAGGACTCGTGTACAAGCACATCTTCATAGCTGTGTTTTATATAGTGATTACATGCTTGAGTTTTTATTTTTAAATTGATAATTCCTTTCTTAACTACTGATATAACACTTGCTTTAATTTTAACTATATTGTCTTGTGTTTTTAAGTTTATATTTTTATAGTTCTATATTTTTTTAGATTTACTGTGGGATAGTATAGACTTGATTAACGAGACACAAAATTATATGTTTTTTATTGTTTTTAGATATAGCTTTTAAGAATAAAAAAAATTAAGTGATAAAGGTAAGACTGGATTTCAGTTTGATAAACTGTAGATCAACATTTCCACACGCTGACTATTAATACACCATTTACCAAGCTATTATTATTTTGCTAACATCCTACTGAAAACCTACCATCACATGCCTTTTTTTCCTTATTAACATTCTACATTCTACACTAAAAGGTGTGTGCCACAGCATTTCAGGAGAGTTTTATGAAATTTACACACAGAACTGCTTTCTACTCATGCAACCAAAGCTTATTTGCGAAGTCTCGGGAAGAAATTATGAGGTGTAACACTTTTCTTGAAACTTTCAAACCACATTAAACTTGTCTCACAACGCCATTGTAGACAAATTTTGACTGTGTAACAGGGCCTTTAATCTCAAAGTCTTGTTCCAAATGGATCTTTTTTTAAACTGAAATCTAGCACTGATTGTTTGGCAAATAAAAATAAAATCTAAGGTTTATGGAATGGTCATATTAGTCACTGTCTGAATCAGGAGAAGTATTCACAAATGTGGCAAGCATTTCATCTACATCACCCATATCCTGAAGAAAAAAAAGGAATATTGGTCAGTGTCAATGCCAAACTTGAGTGGTTTTAAAGCAGTTATAACAGAATCACAGGATCATTAGAAGTGCACTCAATGAACAAGACAGTTATGTAATTAAGAATTCTTAAAAATAATGAAAAAACTTCTAACAAAAGTTCGGCATTGCAAAACTTTATTTTATATATTTTTGCCTATAGCTTTTTAAATCTATAGAGAAAAAACATATCCAAAACTAGAGATTCTATCAAACCGTTTTTGAGTTGTTTTGCTTTGAAGACATGAAAATCTGATCCGAAAAGTCTTGTATTTGTAATATGGTTACTAAACATTAATAAAAATACTGAACTAATATGTTTTGATTGATTAAAAGAACCTCTTCAACCTTGTTGAAACTATTAATGATTTCAAAAATACATCATTCTTTAATATCATACCTCATCTGTCTTAGCATTCCCAATACTAGTCTTTCCCTCATGTCTCTCTTCATCTTTTCGCACGACAATATGTTTCCCTGCACCAAGCTTCTGCATTTTAGCCGGACTCATCTCAATGCTTTCAGCATCTAAAGTATCTGTCAATGGTAGGCTGATGTTGGTGTCTTCTTGCAAATCTGACTCAAAAACATCACTTTTTGATGCCCCAGAAGCAGCAATATCCACATTGTCTTTGGTTAATACATCAGATTTTGACTGATGTTTTGAAGAGGAATAAAGATCTGAGTGTTTTGTGCATTCAATGGCTTGTGTGTTTATCGATTCTCTTGTGTCCATTGGATCTTGGTTTGAAAGAGTGCTTCTAAATATATTAATTTGTTGAATATCTGTATTAAAATCAGTGTTGATCTGCAATTCTTCATTCTCTCTAGGTTGGGTTTTTGTGTAGGTATTGGATGATGCCTGCATACTTTCACATACACCTACTGGCACGTCCAAAACTGTGCCCTCTAACAACCTACTGCCATCATGAGCTGGTACTTCTGAGCCATTCTGGTTAACCACAGATGTTTCAGCAGATAGGGCATTAGTTTCTTGGTGTTTATCGTTATCTTGGACTACACATGTTTTGCTGTTTGTTGGAAGCATAACAAACTGTGTTGCACTCTCAAGAGAAGGTACTAAAGGGTGTATAATGGCAGTCAATATAGTTAATGCTTCTCGGCAGTAGCTTGACACCTAGTAACAATAATCAATAATATTTATTAATGATGTTATTTGTATCAAACAAACCTGTAATGGCCAGATTGATAATCAAGATTCAAGACCCTTTTTAAAATGGTATCCTTGCTAGGTATTGTACATCCTATACCGCATAAGTAAACATATAGAGGATATTGCATGGGTGAGACAATATCTTACAAGTGAGTGTAGCAGCGGGGTAAATGTGTGAACTTGCCTATGGTTTGGAGTACTTACAGAAAACGTTTGGGGGAAGTAATTAATTGTGAGTGTAGATGCCTGTCCTAATTAAACAGTTACCTTGGGGTGCATATCTTGTAAGCCCCTTGTACAGCATCTTATGGCACACTGAATGGAAGAAGGTGCTTGTGGTGGACAAGCTACGACGCATGCCAGCAGACACTGATAAAGAGATTTACGACAGTCTGCATCGGAATAAGGTGATGGCATTCTTCCAGGTACAGATACTTGACATTGCAGAATAAGGTTTAGCAACACCCCTTGTATCTCCTGTGACATGAATAGAACCATGTGTAAAGTAATGACTACCAGACAAAAACTACTCCCAGTGTCACCAATACCCATCTTTATAATAAATGGTAAGGTGTTGTAAGTAGTTGGTTAATGCTTAATAAGGTCTGGTAAGTGGTTGGTAAGGTGTCAGTAAGGTGTCAGTAAGTCGTTGGTAAGGTGTTGCTAAGGTGTATTAATTATGTGGTTTTAAGGTGTCAGTAAGTCGTTGGTAAGGTGTTGCTAAGGTGTATTAATTATGTGGTTTTAAGGTGTCAGCAAGTGGTTGGGAAGGTGTCATTAAGGTGTCAGTAAGTAGTTGGTAAGGTGATAGTAAGGTGTCAGTAAGTAGTTGGTAAGGTGATAGTAAGGTGTCAGTAAGTGGTTGGTAAGGTGATAGTAAGGTGTCAGTAAGTGGTTGGTAAGGTGACAGTAAGGTGTCAGTAAGTGGTTGGTAAGGTGACAGTAAGGTGTCAGTAAGTGGTTGGTAAGG